TCTCATACGCCAAAACATTTGATGCTCGTGCTCAAGTGAAGAGCGGAGGCAAGTATCTCACTTTCATTGAGGGCGGTCGCTGTCATGCGTTTGATGCCAACTACCAGAAGAAATGGACAGTCAAGATTGAGGACCTAGGGACTACACAAGGCAGTATCCATGAGTTCGAGTTCACAACTCAGGGGGGCACAGCTCTGATGACCGCTGTCCAGGATGTCAGATACAACTTGACCGCTCTTGGGGGCGAAATGGATGGTTGGCTAAGCGATTCCATCTTTCAAGAAGTCGAACTCGAAACCAACAGGGTCACCAACGTGTGGAGATCCTTCACACATGTCAATCTGACCGACACCATGGTCAAATACAGTCCCAAAAAGACTTTCATGCATGGTGATGGCTTCGACTGGTTTCACATAGACAGCGTGTCGAAGGTATGAGCCCTCTTCTTGGTTTCTCAACCGCCCAGGCACTGATCAGGAGCAGACCTCGAAAGGTCATTACCTGGTTTCATCAAGGAGTCTTTCGGCGATCATCCTCCTCCAAGCTGATAGCCTGAACCCACAATGGGTCCTCGGAGGAAAGCGCAACCAATTCAAGGACCTCAGTGGCGGCAATGCAACCAACTTCGCAAATCAATATGACGCAAAGTTTGTCCAGGGCAATGAGAGTCAAATCAGTTTCTTCGACAATCGAGTCACCACAAGCGGATCATGTAGCGGAGAAAATTGTTCTCGTGGTGTTGTTGTGGAACTTGACTATGAGGAAATGACAGTCAGGCTTTTACATGAGTTTTATCATCCTCAGAAGATCTCCTCAGGCTCAGGGGGCAGCGTCCAGGGCCTTGACAATGGCAACTTCCTTGTCGGCTGGGGAGCGAACCCAGGGATTACAGAGCATGCATCCAATGGTACAGTTGTCATGGATATTCAGCGAGGAGTCATCCCACAAGCAACTGGCGGCGATCCCGATCTTGATATGTCTGTGTATCGCGCGTGGAAGATGGAGTGGATTGGCCGACCTCCATGGGGTCCTTCCATCGCTGCCGCGGTTCCAGGAAATGAGGCGACAAACGCTACCATCTATGTGTCCTGGAACGGCGATACCCAAGTTGACCGATGGGAAGTAGTGCGTTCAGGCACACCCCTTACTTGTGACTGTTGCTGACTCTTCAGTAGTACGTTGGTGAAGATGACAAGAACGCCACTTCTTCTCCCAGACTCGTCGCAAATTCATCTCGATTTGGCTTTGAAACAGAAATCCTTCTGGAGACATTACCACTTCCTAGATCCGCACGGGCTATCGGTGTAAGTAAAAGTGGTAAAATTCTCGGCTCAACAGCCACAGTTAATCTTGCGAGTGGTGACCTTCACGGCAATAGCAGCAGTACCTGGATTGTAAGGGCGAACACTCCCGATGGAGAACCTAGGGATGATCCTCACGGTGAAGGGAACCAAGGAGACAAAGAGGACTTTGCGTTTCATACGAGTCCACCAGTTAGCTCAGTGTTTGCCCTTCTACTCGCTATTGCCTTCAATCATTTTTTGTAGGCTAAGTCTGAGTCGATGGTGAGTTGAGGTTAGAGGGTCATTTTTGGTGCCGATATCTGGCGGAGTCTTTACACGACAGGACAATTCGAACTATTCAATAGTATGAGCACATGCAGGTACTTTCTTAAATATAAAGGACTCTACTAGAGATAGCTATTCCAAGTCAAATTTATAATGTGTTGATGGCTCAAGTGGCGATGATGGTGCGTATAGGGTGGCTGGCTGACTAATCTCAACTGATCAACTTCATTGCCGTCATTACAATTTCATACAAGTTCATCCTTTATCAACATTTCCAATTTCGCACTGGAATTCAACTTAGTCTCTTATAGATCTTCAAGGCTCAAGAAATGTCTGTGCCTATACGCCGGGTGCCCTTTGTCTGTCGGCGTTGCCTACAAGTCTCCTGCCAACCCAGAACATTGCCACCAGCTCAATACTCAACACAAGCTGGTGCACCCAAGACGGAAGACCAGCAACAAGACAAAACTGCAAAGAAATTCGAACAAGAGAGTGATGAAAACACTGTCGAAAAGGAACTTGGGCCTCTGGCACAACGGCTGGAAGAAGCTACAGAGGAAGCCCTCTTTACCGGTGGAAGAGCCGGACGTAGGGCCGTTGAGGATGCCGGTTTCTCGGAAGAGCTCAAGGAAAGACTGTTGAACAAAATTGAAGATGCAAATTTTAAATCTGGAAATGCCAGTGCCTTTGCCGAGGCCGGTCTCTCACCAACAGCAGGCGAGGGAACACGGTACATCGCCTCCGCGCAGGTGTGGACAGGAGAAGAGAGCACTGCTGATACGGTACTTAGAATGCTCGATGATGCAAAGAAACCTCTCGCCCCGGGCCTAAGGGGCAAGTTTCAACCTCCTCCGGTTGATATGCGACTACAGAAGCAACCGGGGCGATCAGCTGGAGAGAAAGTGGCCAAAGCGAGGGACAAGGTGAACACCTATGTCGGAATGGGTGGTCAACAAGCCAAAAATGGTATGAGTGAAGACGAAAAAGAGGCCTGGAGAAAAGAGTTGAGGGAGAGGTTTGAGCCTGGAGGCCGAGCGTTACCAAACTCTATCACGGGTCTTGCAGCACTGGCGAATGAGCGTATCGAGAACGCTATTGCGAGAGGACAGTTCAAGAATATTCCCCGCGGAAAGGGAGTTGAGCGTGATGCTCGCGCTGATAACCCCTTTATCGATACGACGGAGTATATCATGAACAAAATGATTCAAAGACAGGATATTGTTCCACCCTGGATAGAGAAACAGCAGGAGCTTGCTAAAGAGCTGGGTATTTTTAGAGCCCGACTACGGAACGACTGGCGACGCTTTGCAGCGAGGATGATCGCTTCACGGGGAGGATCATTGCAGGAGCAGATTCGAAGAGCGGAAGAATACGCTGTAGCAGAAGAGGTGCACAACCCAATTATACGAAAGAACGCTGATGGGCAAGTGGAAGAGATCAAGGCTGCCTCGCCAATTGTTGGGCGGCCGTTTCGAGATTCAGCATGGGAGCAAACCGAAGCGGCATATCTCAAGCTGTCGATTGAGCGTCTTAATGCCCTGACACGAAGCTATAACCTGATGGCGCCGGATCTAGCAAAGAAGCCGTACTTTTCACTCGAGCGAGAACTCAAATCGTGCTTTGCTGAAGTTGCGCCTACAGTGGCTCGTGAGATTCAGGAGCGTGCGACGGGCGGAAAAGCTAGAAGCCTAGGAGGAGGGGGGCAAACGGGCAAACAGAAGGGTTTGTTAGAGACATTGACTGGAGGCGACGATGTCAAGGTCCATGTTGAAGCACAGGAGAAAGCCTATGGGCTAAAGGAGTGGTGGAGAGACGTGTGGAAGAAGAATTGAGGTCAATAGTCAAACGAAGCATGGCATATAGGTTGGCATGAGTAGCAATGTATATAAGAGCTGCATCACTACACCACTACCCTGCAACTGCACCTGCACCTGCAACACAAACCTGACTCATAACGTAGGAAAACTCAGACAATTAGTTCCCATGCAAGTCCCCGCCTCTTCCCCAGACGGCTGGCAACCTTATAGATCAACTATGGCCCCCGCACGAGCTATCGTGATAGTCCCACCCTGGCATGTGTGTATGTGAGTTTCAAGATCAACGGTGTTTCACTATAGGCTGGCCCGGATTTTGAAGTCTTGGCTTTATCAAATCATAGCTGACCGCAAGGGCATCAAGACTGCAGTATCAATTGGGGTCAAGGTGTGTTTTCCTTTCGTATTTTGGAGTAACTCCCATGTCACGAATTGAAGCTGGTATATATATAGGTCAGTAATAGCCACTACTTGGTCCCAAATTATGTTTTGACGACACAAACTTGGTGTCTTCCACGGCACTTCAACTAATATCATAAAGACAGTCGGCTGCGTTCGCTCTCGCCACTCCGCGAGGGATGAAATAAACGGTGAAGGTTTGTCGGCCCTACCACGGACGTTGAAAGAGTTCCCCAATTATCCTGGCAGTTCCAGGGGTTCGCAAGTTTGAATGGCGCTAAATGGCTGCCGATTGTTCTAGCTTCTGGGCATTGGAGTCAAGTAGGGTTAGCCAAGTTGAGGCTCCGCACCCTTGATAACTTTCGAAAGATAAGCTTCAATTGTCAAACAATGTCTGACGTTCTGCTTGAAGCAAGGCAGTGTATCAAGGACGCGACTGCGACAGCGTGTATAGTGGTCTTATGGCTCAACCATGCTTCTTTCGACATCTGAATGAACCAGATCTGACATGAACCGTCAGGTTTCTTCCTGCGGTTCAAGAGCAATTGGCCCACTTGAAAATAGCAAGGGTTGGCTTGAGAGATAATGTTCCTCGACAGGCGCCATTGGCTAGTGGCCTCACAAGCTCCCCGACAATCTGTTAGCAAATGCTACGACCACAGAGAGAAATTGCGAGCTCCAGACTCTCGAGTCGCACTCCATTATTCAATGATTCTGCCATACTTGGTCTGGCATGGCTCGTCCCGCTTTGATCCGACCATCCGCCCCTAAAATGAAAGTTGTTGACCTTTGGATCCATTTTTACCTGAAAAGAGGTCCCTTCCAGACTCCATCAGACTTTCTCTCTTCTTGTGTTCTCTCTCTGTCTGCTCTGCTCTGCTCTGCTCTGCTTGTTCTCTGTTTCTGCTACGTACTGGTGCAGGTCGTGTGTGAGTAAAGAGTGGCTATCATCGCTGTCGCCCACGGATTCTTTGTCATTTTCTTGTGTCTCGTTGTGGTCCATCTGAAGTATCACCTTCTCTACATACGTTGAACTTCATATTTGTATGACTTTGTTCGACGTTGCTCCTCCACCACAACATCAAGCGTATTTGGACAAGTTTTGATCATATTGCTTGGCCCCTCTCTGTCCGTTGCAGTGCTTTCCAACAGCCGTCTTCAGCTTTGTAAGCCAGGTGTTGAAGCCATTCTTCACGACCAGGCTCAGGAAGCTGAAGTCATGGCGGACGAACAAGACATGGTGACGCCGGCCCCGCCTTCGAAGGACACCCCCGAAAACAGGGCCGCCGTGGACTCGGCCGCTGAGGATAACACCGACCCCAGTAAGACGCATATCAACATCGTCGAGCATGCCCGCTCAGCTGCCCACAAGGAGCGTACCATGACCCTACGCCAGGGCATCAAGCTCTATCCCAAGGCCATCTTCTGGAGTATCCTCATCTCCACCTGTATTGTAATGGAGGGCTATGACATCTCTCTCGTCAATAACTTTTGTATGTGCGGACCGACTTCCTGGCCATCCGCGTGTGACTGCAATCAGATGCCTGATGTGCGGTGTCAGCATTGATACCGAGCGAAGCCATAGCTTTATCTCGCTAACACTTACTACCAGATGCCTTCCCGCAGTTCAACCAGAAGTATGGCGTCCTTGGTGATGATGGAGAATACCAGGTACCAGCTGCGTGGCAAGCTGGTCTGAGTAACGTAAGTGATCTGCCCATAAGTCCTCGGAGTACTCGCTCATCAACAATTCACAGGGAGCCCATTGTGGTGAGATCATTGGTCTTTTCATCAACGGTTGGATCTCTGAACGATTTGGTTATCGCTACACTGTCATGGCCTGTCTTGTCTGTGTAGCTGGCTTCACAACCATCTTCTTTACCGCCCAGAACGTTCAGACCCTGCTTGTTGCAGAGATACTGTGTGGTATCCCGTGGGGTATCTTCCAAACATTGACCATTACCTATGCATCTGAGGTTTGTCCAGTTGCTCTGCGTGGGTACTTGACGACGTATGTCAACTTCTGCTGGGGCCTTGGCCAGGAGATTGGCATAGGCGTCATTCACGCCATGCTCAAGCGCGACGATGAATGGGCGTACCGCATTCCATATGCTCTCCAGTGGATGTGGCCCTTGCCGCTCCTCATTGGCATCTTTTTTGCGCCCGAATCGCCTTGGTGGCTGGTCCGAAGAGGTCGTACCCAGGATGCTAAGGAGGCATTGCTTCGCTTGACCAGTCTCGACCGCGAGACTGACTTTGACGCCGACGAAACTATCGCCATGATGGTACATACAACTGCCCTTGAAGAAAAGATCACATCTGGTGCAAGCTACTGGGACTGCTTTAAGGGCACCGACCTTCGCCGTACCGAGATCGTATGCATGATCTGGGCCATTCAAAACCTGAGCGGCAATTCATTCTCCAACTATTCCACCTACTTCCTCGAACAGGCTGGACTATCGGCCGACAAGGCATATTCATTTGCCCTGGGCCAGTACGGTATCAATATGGCCGGAGTTTTTGGTGCTTGGGGTCTTATGACTTTGGGTATTGGCAGACGATCCTTAGTTCTCTATGGTCTCTGCGGTCTTTGTTCCATGTTGCTTATCATGGGTTTCCTTGGTCTAGTGCCCGAGGCTCATCGAAGCCAATCATCGCTAGCTACAGGGTGTATGATGATTGTATGGGCCCTGTTCTACCAGTTGACCATTGGAACTGTATGCTATTCTCTCGTGGGAGAATTGTCATCCCGGCGTTTGCAGATCAAGACAGTTGTTCTTGGCCGTAACCTCTAGTAAGTCACGAACATTGTTAAAGCCAGGGGACGCTATCCTCAGTCGACGTTCAAGCCATGGCCGAGCTGTTGTTACGGAGAGCTAACCACGTTTGACAACAGCAACGTCGTGGGCATTATCAACAGCGTTTTGACTCCTTATATGCTCAACCCCACAGCCTGGGACTGGGGTAATTATGCGGGATTCTTCTGGGTAAGAGTCACTCCACCACTCCAGAACACATACGCCTCGTTACTGACGAGAACAATAGGGCGGTATTTGCTTCTTGTGCATCATCTACACCTTCTTCCGCCTACCAGAGCCAAGCGGGCGCACATTTGCGGAGCTCGACGTGCTTTTTGAGCGAGGTATTAGTGCAAGGAAGTTCGCGTCCACTGAGGTGGATGTATTCCATGAGACCGTGGAGGAGAATGTCATGAACCGGTACGAAGAACTCGCAGACACACCCTCCGAGAAGGTCCACGACAAAGCATAGGTTGGCAGATTGTAACTGCCAGCCTCCTATGCACTCTTTCCACAGTGCAGGAGATGAATAACGTTAACGAGATGATTGTACCCTGACCTCGTTAATATCCCAGCAAAGCATCACAGACTCAGCTGAAATGCGCCACATGCAAGATGCAAAGATCTTGGTAAGGGGACATCTCGGATCTTGGTCGGCATTGACATTTGCCTTGGCACTTGTATCGGATAGGCGTTGGCGTTTGGGAGTGAGCTCCATATCCTATGGACTTGCAAAATGTAGTTGCAAAAAAACGGGAGGCTCCAGTATGTAATTTGGTTGAAGACGTCACGATAATTGACTTGATGATTCCCTTGGATACTGTGTTTCTTTTGGTGTGATTATGACCAGTGTTTGAAGCCCCCACGTTTTGGTAATTTCAGTTAGAAACATTCGAATGACCACTCTCATAAACCAATCCACGTTTCTGCGCCCAATTGCCTTGTGGGTTCCTGTAAAGATAGTATATACCGCATCCTGAAGCTTGTATGATTCGGCAACGGCATGTGTATTGAAGTTGCAGAATACACGGGACCGGGCCGGTCACGAGGACGGAACCGGTGCAGAGGAAATGCGCGTGTTTGTGGGTTTCATAACGTTAGAGTCCAATACCTGGAGCATGGACTCGGTGACGCAGCCAGGGCTAATAAAGCGAGCATAAGACAGTAGTGGGAGCGGAATCTGGACAAGCGGAGAGACAATGGGCGTCGAGCTTCAAAGGGCGCTGTCCGTCCTGTCCGTATCCTAAGAGCGGACCCGCTGCTACAGGAAGGCCCAGCGGAAGACCCAGAATGGGACGCGCGGTGAAGAGGCCGGAGTCGACCGGACAGCTGGAGAATAAATCGACAGTCATTGGAAACAGGACAGGGTCGGATTCGGTTGCCTGGGGACTTTCTTTTCTTTTCTTTTCTCGCTGCTTTCTCGGTGTGGCCTCATACATAAGCTGATTCCAGCAGATATATGGGTTTGTACCAGTATTGGTGTAGATAGAAACGACCGTTGAAGGGCATAAACATAAGAAGGCTCGTACCGGCTATTGAAAAGAATATCATCAAATGCCGGTCCTATCTAGTAGTAATAATGCATCGAATGCGGATGAATCGGGCTTTTGGCATGTGCAAGCTGCTTTGAACCGTCGTGCATGTGTCCATATTTGCTTGACAAGGACCCATCGAGATCCCGGGTTTGAAGTGGCTTGGATGATTTTAGGGTCCCAGCTTCTGTACATACAGTAAGGTACGAAGGGCATACTCAGATCATAGGTACTATCCCGAAGTGGCAGGCAATTGGTGACAAAATAGCGTCCTTCGATATGTGGAAGGGACAATTCAATCTTGTCGACTTGACTGGGTAAAGGTGGACCGTGCTCGTTGTTGTGTTTATTTAGAAATGAATTATGATGATGGACAAAAGGAACAAAACCCAACAGGGTAAAGGCAGAACCTGGAACCGCCTCAGGCGCACCACTCAGCTTGAGGCGTTTCTTTAGGAAAGAAGGAACGACAGAAACAACAGGGAGGGTTTCACTTTCCTAGGACTTTGAATATTATCCTCGACCTGGCTTTTTTTGTTGGTTTTGTGTAGAGTCTACCTGAATGGCAGTTGACAGAGCTGTAGATAGAGTAAGGTGGTTCATGTTTAAACTTGTTACCGACGCTCTCCAACCTTTTGACTCATAATTCAAGAGTCTGTGTCATCCATTGTTAAAAGAGTCACTCTTCCAGCTAACCTTAGCCAAGAGTCATGGCAAGTATCTGTAGATCCCATGGAGAGAAACAACCCGGGAAGGATCAAAATATTGTGGCTTGAGCGCCTGTCACTGCCATTCTTCACACGCCGATGTCCGGGGTAACCCCACTAGAATTTCACGGGCAGCAGAAGCCTACCGAGAAATGCCCTGATCAAGGTGAGCTCATTCTGTGGGAGCTGCTTGAAGCCCCCCATAACTTAAGGGCCTCGATCCAGTCCTCAGTGTCTGATTGGACAACAGCTCCCCTAGCCCAGCTCCGAAGAGGCCCGATCGCCAAAATGTACGTTTGTTTGACACCACGCTGTGTCTAGTCACACTCCGCCATACCTAGGATAGGATCGCCTCAAGTGATCCTCCTTCTCCTCCCACGCTTTTTTATTCTCCTCCTCTTTCTCCTCCTCCAACCCCCTCTCAACCATTAAACCATCCCTCACCATCATCTGCACAATGCTGTCCACTCTCCGAGTAGCCAGCCGCCGGGCTGTCCGTCCTGCTCAGTTCAACCTGGTTGCCATTCGCGCTGCCTCTCACTGGGCTAATGTTCCTCAAGGTCCTCCTGTAAGAAGCTCCCTCACTGCTGGCGCACCTCTCCTGTATGACCTCACGCTAACCTCTCACAGGATGTAAGTTAGATCAGCCATTGTTGACCTTCGCGCGAGCTTCTGTTGCTAATCAATTGCTTGTTTTGTTCTGTACAGGCCATTCTTGGTACGTACAACATCCGCTTTATGCGATGCGCTCCGTTTCTCCGCATACGGGGCGTTTTGCGCCAGAGACAAATCGCTTCACTACCATGAATATCGATATTAACTTAATCTCTACAGGTATCACTGAAGCCTTCAAGGCCGACAAGAACAGCAAGAAGATCAACCTGGGTATGTTGCGACGTCATCCCCCACCATCCGAATGCGGAGGTTTCTCGCTGTTTCTCGACCCTCATTCTGATCCGAATCCCATACAGGTGTCGGTGCCTACCGTGACGATGCTGGCAAGCCCTACGTTCTCCCCTCTGTCCGTGAGGCCGAGCTCAAGGTCGTCGATGCCAAGTTGAACAAGGAGTACGCCGGAATCACTGGTGTTCCCGAGTTCCCTCCCGCCGCCGCCAAGCTGGCCTACGGTCCCAAGAACCCCGCCCTTGATCGCATCACCATCACCCAGACCATCTCTGGTACCGGTGCCCTGCGTGTTGGTGCTGCTTTCCTCCAGAAGTTCTTCCCCGGCGAGAAGAAGATCTACATCCCTACCCCCTCGTGGGCTAACCACAAGGCCGTCTTCAACCATGCCGGTCTTGAGGTCGAGCAGTACCGCTACTATGACAAGAAAACCATCGGCCTTGACTTCGAGGGTCTGATTGCTGACGTCAAGGGTGCCCCCAACGGCAGTGTCTTCCTTTTCCACGCTTGCGCTCACAACCCTACCGGTGTTGACCCTACCCAGGAGCAGTGGAAGCAGATCTCTGACGTCGTGAAGGAGAAGGGTCACTTTGCCTTCTTCGATATGGCTTACCAAGGCTTTGCCAGCGGTGACACCGACAAGGATGCCTTCGCTGTCCGCTACTTCGTTGAGCAGGGCCACAACATTGCCCTGTGCCAGTCTTTTGCCAAGAACATGGTAAGTTAAACAGATGTACATGTGATTCCTAAAAACAAAATAAATATAAAGAAAGGGGAAGAAGAAAAGACAAGGCCAGCTAACAATCTCAAAGGGTCTCTATGGTGAGCGTATTGGTGCCTTCTCCATCGTCTGCGCCGATGCCGAGGAGAAGAAGCGTGTCGACTCTCAGCTCAAGATCATCATCCGACCTCTGTACTCCAACCCTCCAATTCACGGTGCCCGCATCGCCTCCGAGATACTCAACAGCCCTACTCTCTACAAGCAGTGGCTCGGTGAGGTCAAGCAGATGGCTGACCGCATCATCACCATGCGCGCCCTCCTCAAGGATAACCTTGAGAAGCTCGGCTCCAAGCACGACTGGTCTCACATCACCAGTCAGATCGGCATGTTCGCTTACACCGGACTGACTGCTGAGGAGATGACCCGCCTTGCTGAGGAGTTCTCCGTCTACGCTACCAAGGACGGCCGTATCTCTGTCGCTGGTATCACCTCTGAGAACGTTGGTCGTCTTGCTGAGGCCATCTACAAGGTCAAGGGTTAAATACGAAATGACCTAGATTATAAAATGAGAAGGATGTGCACCCAGTGATCACACTGCTTCGAAAGGCGATTTCTTGGATGCAAAAAGACAGCTACGGCCATGAAAGCTGTCGGGGCGGATGAACCCGAAAATACCCCGAGTCTAGGGTTCAAGTCTAGTATAGACTTGGAGAAGTAATGATGAGACGAAGAGAACCTGAAAATACATGTACAAGTAACCTATATAGAAGACGTTCTATGCGTTTGCTACCTCTCCAGCACCTCATACTGAGTTTGGAAATGTGAAGATATATTTATTCGATCTAGGTAGGTATTAAGCCTAGAACATGCTAGCAATTCGGGCTGCTCTCGTGCCATCATGATGTTTCATACAGCGTGAATAGTCTGAAACACATTGTGACTCACAATTACCACCCCTTGTTAACCCTGGTTCAGTCGGTCCAGGTCTTTTTTCACTTCGTCCATTTGTCTCGCCATATCCCGATATACCCTCGACATCTCCCTCATCTTCCTCTCTTTTGTCTCTCCGCCATCAACACCGACGCCGTACTCTCCCAACTCAGCTTGCAAACCGCGAATGCGCTCCTCACCTCGCATTCTAGCATCGCGCAAGTGCGCGCCGTAGTTCTTTAGAGCAGCAATTGCTTCGGGTGTGTAGACTGCGCGGCGCACAGAGGCAGCAGCTATAGCAGCATCGGCGTTGTGACGGCGAGCTTGAAGGGCGACATCTGCGGCGCGGAGCTCAAGACTGCGGGCTACAACACCGTGCTTTACTTCAAGAGCGCGGACGAGAAGACTCAAAGCATTGCTTGCGGACTGAAGAAGAGCTGTCAATGCGGCCAGGGAGCGTAACCGGTGAGTGCTCAGATCTCCTTCTGCAGCTGTGAGGTCAGAACGCCAGGACGTGAGGGTAGCTGGCAGCGAAGCAATGTGTCTATGGAGAAAGGATGAATTCGTAGTCGGATGAGCGATCCGTGCAAGGCCTAATGCCCAGGTCCGTAGATTCGATGCAATGACTGGTGCCAGAGCTGGAAGGAGAGTCTCAAGGTCTGAAAGGGGAGGATGGGCGAAAAGGAGCTGGAGGGTATCTTGAGGAAGAGGCGGATTGTTGGCGTCGAGTAGTGGAGGGAGGATGAGGAGAAGATCAAGTAGAGGCTCTGGAAGCGAAGCCTGTTTCTGTAATTGCGATCTTGACTCTGTAGGTTGCTGGTTTTGAGGCGCTCGCAGGCGGGAAGAAGCTCTTGTTGCGGGTGGTGTGCTTGATGGTGTTGCTGATGAGATGGCGCGGGTTAAGAGATGCTGTTTTGCGCAGACAAGACGCCTGCGGTTGAGTTCCTATGCCTCAAGTCAGATTAAAACATCTTTATTGAGATGGTAATCATGGAGTAGTCTCACCTCTCGAACTGCAGCCCGCTCTTTAGCTCTGGGGTCCTCCTTAGTCGATCCATCAGGATTAAGTACAAGATTTGTAAGTTTATTATAGAGATTCGCAAAATCAGGATTATTCTGAAGAACAGAGTCTTCCACAGGAGGAAACATGGTCATCGTATATCAGATCAGATCAGGCGAGGTCATATCCCACTGTCGACGAATACTCATTGTTTACTTTGTTGATAGTGAAGCTGTAGTGGATCCCATCGCGAAGACACCACGGCATCACCTGATTGGGCAATTCCCCAAACTTGAACAACTCAATTCTCCGGCGCCGGAACATCATGCGCCTCCGAACAACGACATCCCAAAAATCTCAACTCCAAAAGGTCATTGATATTGTCGACGATCAGCGCATCTCGAAGGGGGCACTCCGCGCTCGAAAATCTCCGCCTGCCTCGACACCCATTGAAGACCAATGTCTCGTATATAACTGGGAAATCGCAATCCGAGACTCGATAACCAATATCATGGCATCCTGGGCCCCCGCTCGGCCGGCTCTGAAGGCCCTGGCCTCATTATCGACAACGACTCCCGCCCGACTATTCAGCACAACTCTTCCTCAGCAGACCAAGACGATCAAGTCACATCTTCTACCCAACCGTCTGATCCCCCCATACCCCTATGGCGAGCGAAGAGTCTACAAGCAGTCCAACAAGGGTCTATACGGCTCAGCGAGAATTCGTTTCGGCAACACTGTTGCGGAAAAGTACAACAACAAGGCCCGTCGATTCTGGCGTCCAAACGTTCACGTCAAGGTCTTCAGGCTACCCGCCATACAAGCCAACGTCAAGACCCGCCTCACACTCCGAGTTCTCAAGACCATCCGCCGAGAGGGTGGTCTCCAGGAATATCTTCTAAAGAGCAAGCCCGCCAGGATAAAGGAGCTTGGCCCCGGTGGCTGGAACTTGAGATGGCTGCTCATGCAGTCCAAGGACATTCAGAAGCGGTTTAATGAGGAGCGCATTGCTTTGGGCATGCCGCCCAAGGAGATTGAGGACCGGGATGATATTATCCAGTATGCACTCGATTTCGCTACTCCGGGCCCCCTAAGCAAGCGTAGTCAAGCAACTCTGGGTGAACTTCTGGCGCGGGAGTTTGTGTTGGGTGACGAGGATTTGGCTGATTTGGAGGGCATTCAAGAGTTGTCAGACGAGGACGAGGCCCTGTTATTCAAGCAGCTCGATGCAGAGATGGAAGCCAGAAAAACGCGAGGCGAGCAAAAGATTACTGTGTAAAATGTCTTATGTATAATATGTACCAAAACCCCCCATTTTCAACGCCCTCCAAGTATTGTATCACCAACCCGCCAGAGCCACGATAGAAAAGACCTTTTTGTTCATGCTATCATTTCAATGGTTGCTACATAATCCAAACATGGTATCGCTTTTAATCTAGAAACGGAGATCCCAGCCAATCTTGGGGCCCAACTTGGGCAGCTCATCAGCGACGCTCTGCACGTCCTTGTCACCACGGCCACTCAGGCAGATGACAATATCCTCACCCTTCTTCATTGTCTTGGCAAGCTCAATGGCACCAAAGATACCGTGAGCAGTCTCGAGAGCAGGAATGATACCCTCGAGCTGACTCATGAGCTTGAAGCCAAGGAATGCCTCAGCATCAGTGGCAGCAATGAACTTGGCTCGCTCATTGTCCTTCCAAGAGCTCAGCTCCGGTCCGACACCGGGGTAATCGAGACCAGCCGAAACGGAATGTGTCTCGGTGATTTGACCGTGCTTGTCCTGGAGAACGTACGTCCGTACACCATGTAAGACGCCCTTGGAACCACCAGTGAGAGTAGCACTATGTCTGGCGGTGTCAACACCATCACCACCTGCCTCAACACCCAGAAGCTTGACAGTAGGCTCATTCTCGAAGGGGAAGAACATGCCGACAGCGTTACTGCCACCACCAACACAAGCCACAACGGCATCGGGAAGCTTGCCTCGCTTCTCGAGCATTTGTTGCTTGGTCTCGTTGCCGATCACTGACTGGAAGGTTCGGACAATGGTAGGGAAGGGGTGGGGTCCGATGGCAGAACCGATGATGTAGTGGGTAGTGTCCAAGTCAACGACCCAAGCGCGAAGGGCCTCGTTGACAGCGTCTCGAAGAGTCTTGCTGCCGGCTTCGACAGCAACAACCTTAGCGCCGAGAAGTCGCATACGGAAAACGTTGAGGGCCTGTCTTCGGACGTCTTCCTATTCAATGCATTAGTAGTGCTTTTCAGACCAGCAAATAGACTTAAACTTACGGCTCCCATGTAAACTGTGCACTCCATGCCGAACTTGGCACAAACGGTAGCGGTAGCGACACCGTGCTGACCAGCACCGGTCTCAGCGATGATGCGCTTCTTTCCGAGTCTTCGGGCAAGGAGAAGCTGTCCCAGAGCATTGTTGATCTTGTGACTACCAGTGTGGTTCAGATCCTCACGCTTGAGCCAGATGTTGGCACCACCAGCGTGCTCAGTGAGTCGCTCAGCCAAGTGCAAGTGGCCGGGTCGCCCCATGTACTCGTAGTAAGACCGGTATTCTTCCCAGAAAGAAGGGTCGTCTTTGATCGCGTTGAATCCATCCTCCAGTTGTGACAGGCAGTCCATCAGACTCTCAGGAACGTACTGGCCACCGAACTCGCCAAATCGCTCCGGGATCTTGCCGTGAAGAGCAGCGAGCTGAGCAACCAGGGCGCTGTCCTCCTCGGCAGTGATATCGGCATCTGTGACAGTACCACTGACGGTGACATTCTCGCCGCTGGGCTCCTTAGCACCAGCAACAGCCTCAACAAGACCGACCTCTCGTGTGTTCTCATCGGAATCGCGGCCTGATAGGTAGGCACAATACTTCTCGACATCGGCAAGAGCCTGGCCAGGAGCGGCGTTCTTGATGGTGGTAATGATCTGACTGCCGACGACGACACCGTCTGACAAAGTAGCTACACTTAGGAAGTGCTCTCGAGTGCTGACACCGAAACCGACGGCGGCGGGCTTGTTGCCGCTGTACTTCTTCACCCGCTCCAGAAGGTCGGGAAGATTCGCGTTAAGAGTGCCGGTAGCGCCAGTGACGCCCATGCGGGAGACGACGTAGATAAATGAATCGGCGAGCTGGCAGAGAATCTTCATTCGGGTATCTGATGTAGCAGGAGCGATAAGAGGAACATATGAGAGACTATGTATGGAATCAGTATTGTACTCGGGTCAATTTGGGCGATTTGACTCACCGGCCCTTGTTGCAGAGCTTTCGGAAGGAAATAGCCTCCTCGGGAGGCAAGTCAACGACGATGAAGCCATTGATACCGGAGGAGTGGCAGTCCTGGAGCAGCTTCTCCTCGCCGTAGCTTAGAAGAGGATTGTAGTATCCCATAAGCATAACGGGGGCCTTGAGACCGCGAGATCGGGCCTCCTTCACCATCGCCAGTGTGGACTCGATTGTGACGCCATTTTCGAGAGCGATCTAAACCAGTCAATTCCTGTCTAATCGAAGCGATTGGCGCCGTACGAACCGTATTGGCAGTTTGAATAGTAGGACCGTCGGCAATTGGGTCGGTGAACGGCGCACCGACTTCGATAACGTCTAGAGTTGCGGCTCGATTAGTAGAGTTCACAGGCGTCACTGAACCGAGGAAGACTTACCGGCGCCACCCTTCTCGAGAGCCAGAAGGATGTTGGGCGTGTCCTCGGGCTTGGGGTAGCCAGCAGTGACATATGTTACCAGCGCAGACTGTTTGCAAGAGAAGAGTCATTGTCAGTTTCTTTGTTCTTCCAGCCAAAGTTGGTATTCTCGCCGTTTTACCCCGCGGAGGGGCAGTCATGACGAGAATTTGGAGTACTGACCCTGTTCTGCTCCTTGCAGCGCCTGAAAGTCTGTTTGATAGCGTCCATAGCGAATTAATTATCGACTCTGGTCCTAGAAACGGTATAGAGATTGAAGGAGGGAGATTCCTTGGGAGGACGTGGGGATCTTTAAATTAAAGAAGAGAGAAAGAAAGTTGAGGCGAGGGTGGTTTGTTGGTGACTGCACTGTATTCTCATGCTCCGCCACCGATTCCGGAACAACGAGTTCCGCCACCTGCAATTGTGCCTCTGGACTCGTTAGCTCCTTCCCGCTCATGCAAGTCGCCCGCAGGTGCATATTCCACCCACACTCCGCCCTGCATGAAGCATCGCAGCACCCACTTTGGCTCCGGAATTCCCTAATTGGGTAATCAATCAACATGACATTGGATGGAGCCTCGGTTGCAATCTCAGGGTCCTGCATCATGGCATCTAAATGGGGTGACATATCTCGTACTCCTTCCTCTTTTTGTAAGCAGTCACAAACATTACGATTGGGTATTCTCTAGCATTTACATCCTTTGCTGCAGTCATCATGCATACTTAGGTACCAACACTAAGGCACATATAGGGAGTCTCTTTGTCGAGCAACTCCGACGCCAAGCAGCTTGTAACAAAGAACCACTTGTAGGGCTGAAGTAGTATCAGGAATAATCTCTTTCGGCCAGAAACAGAACAAATTTTTACTCAACAAAGGGAGTCTACGCATTGTTATGCAGTCACAATAACCATGCATTCACGGAGAGGCATTACATAACCATCACTAAGCCATAAGATTTGCAATTGTAGCCTTCAATTTGTTGTTACTATGTGCAAGTCTAGGACTGGAAACAATCTGGCTGAAACCATGACCACAAACAATGTAGAACATGAACCAGACCCAAGACTATCCCTTGGACCCGAAACATGGACTAAGTATCCAACGACCACTACCTTTTTTTTCCTTCTGGATATCAATTGAGAAACATATGAAATAAATTTGAGTTGCCTCCATGTCCAAGATACGTTATATTGACGCCGACCGTATAGTCATCGCTTCATGCAGTTGAAAAGGATCGTCTCTCTCGGCGCGGGTCCAGCCAGGGCCAGAGTAATAAAAAAGAAACTGCAGTGGAAATCATCCTTCAACTGGCTATCGGGCTCCAACAGTCCTAGTATTTGCCGCTTGCCGTGTCTAAGTAGCCGTAGGAGCTGCTTCTTTGGTGACCGTCCACCTGTGTAGCACGAGCCCCTGTTGCACCGGACATGAACTTCTCGTCATGCCTACTTGCATCTTCTCTGTAGTGATCTATCTCGCCAGAGGAGGACCCAAAACGAGGAAATTGTGTTGCGCCATCGGGATTGGCGGGATCGTAATGTCCGACACGAGGACTCAATCCCGGTCTGTTGTCCCCAGTATAGCGCATACCACCCTCAGCGCGGCCTTTGTCTGGTGAGACCATGCCGACAAGTGTCCATACTGTGCCAATAAGGACAACAAGTACATACACTAGAAGGATACCAGTAGAGATGAGAGCATCTTGGATTAGCTTCCCGTGAAGCCAATCTGTAACTGCCTTGACAGCCCCTGTGACCTCATCAGTAGTGGCGGACGACGGGGATGCCAGGAACGTATTAAGCTCCGAGTCACCTTCAACCGAGTCCTTCGCACCCTCGCTAAAGGTATTGTTTTCGAAGAGTGGGAAGTTGACCTGAGCGTGGTCATGAACCCAGGTGAGTCCCTTTTGCACACTCTCGATCTTGATGCCGATAACGCAGTGAAGGACTGTCTTAATAGGGTCAAGAAGGATGGTTCCCTTGAAGACAGTGTTAAGCCCATCATTCATGGTATCAAGGAATGTGTTAAGAGTGTCGTTCACAGCATCCGTGGCGTTGGTAACATAGCCAAGGACGTCGTTGTTGATTTCACTGTTGAAATTCGTGATCACGCCGTTGGCATCATGGGCCCATTCAGCCGAAACACTTTCGAGGTTCTCAACAACATCGTCAGCAAATGCGCCAACTTGACCTGCGAGGGCAGGCACTTGGTCCCTGATCGCCTTGAGAAGAAGCCACTGGCAAAAGCAAGAGAAGAAGCCAGCAATTGCGAGAGACAGGATGAAGAGGGCTGGGACAGACGTGGCATAAGCGATAAGCCATCGTACAAGAATCTGTCGCTTGCCCTTGAAGTACGATGCGATCTTGATGCCCGCAGTAGCCGTCATGGGCCGAGACGCAATGTAGACAATGTCCATAGGGTCATACGAATTTTGAGCAATAAGACGAGCATGCTGCTGTTGTCGCCGCCAGCGTCTGATCTCAAGCCAGGCCATGGGAACGATGGCGGCCAGAGCGAGAATAATCAAGACAGCGATGAAGATGGTTCGAGCTTTGTGGATAAGTTCGAACAGGTTGTTGAAGAAGTCGTTGAGA